AGGCTATTGTATATAATGTGTGGTGTTAATTGCACAGATAGCTGACTTCGATCTGTGACTGCCAGTTTGGGATGTTTGGCTATTCTCAGCCACCACAATCCGTGTCTAATCAATAGTGGCACTCGTGTGGAATTTCCCAATCAATTTTCAATGAAAGGCAGACAAAACCAGCAGCCTTGAGTCATTGTTGGAGTCAGCAAAACATCCACAAAGCTGGACACTTTACATAAGTTTGTATATCGTGGTATATAAGTGGCTATGTTTCTCAGTCACTGACACATAAAATTACTCAGATGTAGACATCCAAACCACTTGCTTTCACATATATCCTAAAAGGATAAAAGTGCCCTTCACATTCATTCATCCTAAAGGAATATCTACAGAAGGGGAGAATTTACTGGATTGGATTTCAAAATCCAATTCAATTCTCAAGCTCCTATATGTTTTCTAATATAGGAGGAAAAAAAAGTTTTCAATTTGATCTGGAGCTTAAAATGATATTAGGTATAAGATATAAGATGCTAGATATACAAACTAACTAATGTGGGGCATTACAACTTTAGGTTTATGGTTGTAATTCTTTAAAGCCCCTCTAATACATTTTTTTAATTCTTACAATAAACTAAATTACTATGCGCAAGGTTTTGGTCGTAGTGAATAACACACAGAGAATTAATACTTGTTGTTATCTTGCTACTGTTAGCTAGCTCACACCGATTGATTGTTTTGTCGCACCAATTAATTACAGACTGTTCAATTACCCTATATATTTAACAGTGGCTTCTTAACTACACTATAATAGTGATATTTTACTTAAAAAGTGAAAAAACTCTGATGTATGACACTTAATTTTGTATTGCAGTTTTCACCGGAGCCATCACAACATCATAACTACTGATAGTGTAAATAGGCAACTGCTAATACCTTAGCCATAACAAATGTAAAGGACAAAATATAATCAAATGGAAATATCATGTTAACTACATTTTTCAGTGCTTTCATGCATTAGTGTATCTGGCAGAGGTGGGGACTCGAGTCACATGACTTGACTCGAGTCGGTCCCTTGACTAACATTGATAAAAGACTTGACCTGACTTTGACTTGGTATTCATGACTTGAGACTTGACTTAAGCTCGAGACAGATGACTTGAAAGGACTTGACCTTTTCAAATTAAATATTTGCGTTTGTTTTTCTAGTGAGATATTTAGTTTTTTCGAAACGTGATTGGGTGATTATAGCGCCATGCGCGCAAACCTGGCAACCCACTAGAAGGCAGGAGCGTCAGTTCACATGGCAGCGGCGAGCGTTACTCCACAAATAGTGAAGTTTGGATTCAAGGATTATTTTGTCGATGACGGTAATAAGAAGAGAACAGCGGTATGCAGGGTCTGCAGCATAAAGATCAGTGACAGGACCACCACAACATCCAACTTCATTCGTCACTACAAAATACCCCACAGAGAAAGGTGCGTGCATGTGTTGTGTTAGCTAGAAAGCTAACGTTAAGTTTAAGCTACGTTAGACTTGGTTTCAAATCGATTAAACATTGCAAAGAGAAGACAAAACGGTAAATGAACACTAGAACCGTCAAGGGATTCATTTAGACTAACCCTGATACTGACGGGCTGTCAGGAGAGAGAGGGAAAGAGATGCCTCGTTTATTTCCCCTGTGTTATTATCAGAAGTTACTGTAATAGGTTGAATAATGTAGTTCATCTACTTTTAGTAGTTTGTTTAAATGTTTTAATTATGTTGTTTGTAGAAGTGCATAATTTCTTGATTTATTGTAAAAATGAATCTGAACTTTTTGATCTGTTATGATGATAAACTGAAGCAATTTCTAAATTAACCCAATTAAGTGAGTTTTAAATCGTCCTACTTAGTTTATAAGGACATTATGAAGAGGAACAAATCAAATGATTTGAAAATGATATCTATGTAGGTGCTGACGCTGTTGGCTGTTCTAGCGTCTATTTCAATTAAATATGTGTAATGGCAAATATATATATATGATTTTCTTACCTGGAATTCTGCCTTTTTGAACAGACTTTTTGAGTCCTCGCTTATTGTCTGCAGTTCTAGGGTTAATATGATCTAATATGATTGTCATCGGTCTAAATTAGATTTCAAATGATTAACTGTGTATGTAATGAAGATCATAGTGTGGGTTGAATCCATTTTCATAACCACTGTCTTTTAACTGATTTAAATGTGGAAACTGGGCTTATTCATCAGAATGTTGTATGACTTGACTTGACTTGCTTGACCTGAGCAATGATTGACTTGACTTGCTTGACTCTCACCACAGTGACTTGGGACTTGCTTGATACTTGTAGGTCAAGACTTGAGACTTGCTCATGACTTGCACATGTAGGACTTACTCCCACCTCTGGTATCTGGAGTATCTACCTACGCAACTGAGAAATAACACAACCCGGTCTGTTTTTTTTTTGGAAACATGGGATTCAACAAGCCCGCCTTCTGGCCTCACATTCATTCTCATTAGAATATAATGAGTATCTCCCCACGGCTTGAGAACTACCTTGCAGTTGTAGTCACCGCACTAAAGAGTCCTTGGGAAATAAAGCTATTGTAAGTGGATGTGTATATCACATAAATACATTTTTCGTGAAGCTAATTGGCAATTTATTACCACAGCAACCAACAAAACTGTATAATTTCTGCATAATTAATAGTTTGGTGCTGTTTTATTGCCTCTGCTCAGCGAGCAGCATTTTCTCGTTAGATTATTGAAAATTGCAAAAAGCATGAGAGTGCTCATTTACCTAAGTGCTATGACTGAATGTATGTTTAAGAGGCTTTTAAAAGGTTTGCTTTCTCTTCATGGTGGTTTCATGTTGCTTCCAGACACAGTGGGTTATGGGCAGGATAATTAAAACACCTACAAGACAAATGAAAAGCATTACCATGATTTAAACTTCTATTAACACCTGCACACTGAGCCTGATCGTTGCAGTGATTTATCACAACACATGAGATTTCACAGGAGAAACTTGTAGTTTCAATTTGGGCAAGTGAACATGCACTAAATATGTCAGTGTTTGTATATAAACCAATGTACAATATATTTGAGACAATCAGTAATAATCCACCAGTTATGGATTTACCGGAGCCAAGTGAATAACCAGTTCTTCATACCTATATCTGAACGTCTAAAGCTAGCAACACTGAAAACCTGCAATGTGAAAGATGAGAAGAACAGAATGCTGGCACTCAAAACTGAGAGCAGCTACTAAGGAGTGTCTATCCGGAAAGCCAGGGGCTGTGTGTATAGGCAGTGTCAGAGGTCAGAGTGATGGTGTCATTCCTATAGAAACCAGTTCCTTAGAGTGTCATTTTGGAATCAGCCTCACAAACAACCTGAAAGGATCATCACATACCTCCATCTTGGTGGAAAAAAGCTCAAAGACGGCTGTATTTTTTAGGGAAACACAAGAAGGCAAAATTCCCGAGCCAAGTTATTGTTAACTCTTACAGAGAAGTAATCAAAAGCGTCCTGAATGAAACCATTACAAAGTGCAATGGGTTGCGCTCGGTCAGAACCAGAGGGCTCTACAGCAGGGGATTCAAACCAGAACCCAGAACATCATTCCATCTACAAAGCATCAGATTTCGGTGAGGTGCTAGCATGAAGTAAGTTGCCGCACCAAGGGAAGGTCTTACTGTAAGTTATATAACATAGCTCTTGTTTTAGGCAATCCCTCACCTATCACATCTTGTAAGCGTTGCTAATGATCATGGATTCAAGTGGCTGAAATGAGTTTCCTTCAGTTTGGCTGAGCTCACTTTTAGGGATGTAATGAAGATTTTAGACATCCTGAAGGAACTAAGGGAAGAACTGCTGTTCCTTTGCAATCAAATGAGTTAGCTTATTTGGTCCCAGTCCTTGATGAGGATGCCTTCTGAATGTTTCCTTTCTAGGCATTTCCATATCGGAGAAGACCAATGGATCCAACCTGGGGATGCCTCAGGATCTTGCATGAATGGCTAGAGAACATCGGAGAAGAACATCCAATTGCTCAGCAAGAGTCCTTGCACTGAATCAGTTCTTTATATTATGCAATATTAAGATACAAATTGTGAGTTTAGTGTCTAGGGACAAGGCCGAAGGTTCACTACCATCAACAGTATTTCTGATCTGGCTATTCTCTGTGAAACTTTGAAACATCCCTCTGGAAACCGGTGGATGACATCACAGACAAGAATAGTCAAGGGAGACACAGGATTCATTGGAAATGTGGACTTGAAATCTTGAAAAATGAATTGTTGTAAAAGCTTAATAATGCAATGCATTTGAAAAATGATATGTTTATGATGTACCTGTATTAAAAGATCAGTCTGATATATCTTTAGTAGGGTATAATATGGCATCATCATAACCGTTTTTCCAACCTTGGGACCAAGGAAACAGAGATTACCAGTGGGGATCAGTTTAGTCATATTCAATGTTGACAGCCTGAGCTTCAAATGGGGGTGTTGTGAAATGAAGAGCAAGGTGTGTACAGTGAGTTAAGCAGTCATACACGCCACAGCGTATCGGTAAACACCGTTAATCACAGGTTAGCAGATGAGAATGTTAATTGCAGCGAAGGAAATAACAAGACCCAGAGGATGTTTCTATTTATCGACACCCCCACTGTTACTGATAAGGGCCAGCAAGCTCTGTGTGTGTGTGTGTGTGTGTGTGTGTGTGTGTGTGTGTGTGTGTGTGTGTGTGTGTGTGTGTGTGTGTGTGTGTGTGTGTGTGTGTGTGTGTGTGTGTGTGTGTGTGTGTGTGTGTGTGTGTGTGTGTGTGTGTGTGTGTTCACACTGAAAAGTGAAGAGTGTCTAGAGGAAAGAGGTGACGAGGGGGATATAATGTTTAACACTTTGCTTTTTATGTCTCACTTCCATATTGTTCACACAAACACACAGAACCTCAAAAGTTATCAAAGTATGTGATGATTTACTTTGATTAACACTAACTACTCCCCGAGTACTAGATGACACTGACTACTTACTAACACTGACAGTACTGACTGTCGCCGAGCAATGTTGTCAAAGTTCAAATTATTTCAACTTTGACCCCAATCAGATCATCAAACCCTAACCCCAAACCTTGTGGTGACCAAAGAGCAGATGTAAATACGGCCTTCACGAGTACTTTGTATCCGTACATGAGGAGAAAAAAACCATCCAACTTAAGTGAAGAAGGCAGACACAGAATGAACTGATAAGATTGAGGTTTGGATAAATTAAAAAAGAAGAATATATGAATATTACTACAAAAGATGTCCGTCCTGACTGAAGCAGTAAAACTGGTTGGCAAACGCTGCTTTGTTTTAATGTTTGAATCATGATAGTGGCTTGTATATCTACAGTTCTACAGTTTTTGGTTTTCCTTATGAAAGAGGAACACAGACTGCTCGGCTGCAGTCTGTGAGGTGTGCTCACGTGCCACTTTTTGGCCAAGAGGCAGGTTGGCCAAAAAGTTTGCATTGCACATTAGTACTTTCATGAGGGTTTCTGTGCAAGGGCCATTAAGTCAGTTTACTGGATGTAGTTCTGGCTTGTCAACAAGTTTAGAATTTAATTGCAAAATGCAAAATAAATAAATGGTCTGAAAATGTTTGAAAACATCTGAACAATGTATAAGCGAGATAAAACCTCTTAAAGTGTCCAAAATCAGAAATGAATGGACACTTGGGCATCCCCTTACATTGATCACCTAATAAAAGGATTTTAAGGGTAACTTGAGTGAGGGTTGAGTTTAGGGTGATTTAAAGCATATGTTTTTATACCGTTTTTCACCACTGTCACTGGCAGTGAACAGGTAAAACATGCTCCATGTGTTATAAACCCTGACAGAGTTTTGCTTTCACTCAGATGTGTTGGTATTGTCCCCAAACAAACAACCTGCACACGGCTCACACAGCATCTAAATCAATCAGCATGTCTCTATGCATCCGATAGCTGCCTAATTGATGCACTAATCCAGTCACTAAGTACTGCAGCGCTGTGGAGTATGCCCAAAGCAAACACAACACACAAGTCATCAATGAGCTGATCTCCAACAGAGAGCGGAGCAGGACTGACAGAACATCTATGAACTATAGATCAGGAGGAGAAGTGCACACACCTTTGGCCTGGAACAACACAGCTGTCTTCTGTGATGGGCCTGCAGGAGATGAGGTCTTGAAGAAAAAGAGACAGCTTATTTTCTAATATTTTACATCTTTGACTGCGGGGCCTTTTGTCTCAAACAGCACTGAGGTCATGACCTCTGATTCTGTGAATTTGGAGGTTTTAGTCACTTTAGTTCAGTTTACAGATTACACTTCACATGGTGGTGGATTCCAGTATTTTTGGGAATCAATATGTTAAACTTGGCTGGAAATACTAAGTATTAGTCCTATGTTTATATACGTCTGTTTTGATAGTAGTCTATTTTGGAGTATTGTGACTTGTACTTTATAAGAACAATATTTTTGAATTGTTTATTGTTTAGACACTCTATTGATATACTTTCTATTTACTGTTTATTTGATTGATGTATTTATTTTTCTACTTTATTTCAATATATATGTGTTACTCATGTGAAATGCCTGTTAACCTGCTGCTGTGACAGAAACCATTACGATTTGGGATCAAATCAATGAGACACTTTGGAGACACATTTATCTCCTTATTGAACTATGTCATGTTTTACTAACTATGTGTAGAATAGAGACTGCCAGAGGATGTAGAAGGAAAAGAAGCTTCTAATGTGAAAATGTACATGAATACAAACGTATATGTGCATGGTTATATTTCACTGTAACACATTAGTCTGGTGTTTCACATTTAAAAAAAACTTCCCATGCACCTTGACTAGCTGCACATAAAGCTCATGAGGCTTGATGTTTGTACACGCTAGAAGTAGGGAAGGTACTGGGTGCCCATTGACTTCCACCAAATTCCGTTCGTAATGAGAGCAACCTTTAGAGTGGTACAGGAAAGAGTTTTTGGTAGGCCTGAAATAAGCTCTGTTTTTAACACAAGTTTGCGAGATTCTCATGTTTTGTTCTACGACCGTAAATACGTCAGTACATACCCCAATCTTGAAGTCCAATGCTTCTATGCTGCCATTAAAAAATGGTGAATAAGTCACCAAATGAGACTACTTAGGTCGTACATTAGCCGCCTTTAGCTTAGCGAGCATGATGTAGTTTGTTTGCAGCATTATATTAGCGTGGATTGCATTTACGCCTCGATCATCATACAACTGGTGGTAATATGTGTAGACTATCCGACTGAACAAAACATGTAAGTATCATAAAGTGTGTTTTCCAAATAAGTTATTTTCTGCAGTATTCCGAAATCCAGCGGGAGAAAGAAATTAAGCTTTCGTCGATGGAGCCCTTGTGAAGATAACTTCCGGGTCGGTCTACAAAAATACGCCATCACTGCACCGTTCTATGAACTATTTCAATGCAGAGTCATAATGGAAAGAGTGTCTAAGTCTCTGCTTGATAGACCACAGCAGATAGACCCAGTGGAGTTCCAACCTGAAGCTATCATCTCCACCAACAACAAGGAAAACTACAAGCAGAGCTTTGAAACTATAGAAGAAAAATAAGGCTCAAACATCATCAATGAAATGAGGCAGATGTTGATGTTCAGGAAAGGGTCTCCTCCAGGTAAAGACCCAAAGAACAGCAACAATACAACTGTAAGGAAAGAGCTACCTCAAAGAACTGAAGCTTTGCTAAACTAGGAGGAAGCTCATTGTGTCGGAGGGTTCAGAGTGACATGTGGACAGGAGGAACCAAGGATCACTGCAAAACCTTGAAATCTTGCCAAGTATATTTGTCCAATTTCTAGTCCGAATGTTTCTTTACAATTGATGACTAAATAACTTAAGAAGTAACAATGCAGTGAGATATAGGGTCTTGTTTTTAGACAATGTCTCAGACGGAACACAACATTTCCCGATTCTGGTCAAATGAAGTTCGAAATAAGTTGTCCCAGCTAATTACAACAACTCATTTCTAAATATCCCATCTTAGAAGAAATCTTCCGAGAAATATGATAAAGCTTGTTCTATTGGCACCTTGTTTTTATTATTCTTTTACTTGATTTTGGAGCAGCATTTTTCCACTGCATACCTCCATCCCTACGCCTTCGGGACACATTGCTGTACCAGCTGCACCACAGCAACCCTCCTGCACTGCCATGTACATCTACAATTTAGTTTCATCATCTCTTAGAGAATTTGGCTTGGATCCCAATGCAGTAGAGGTGAATGTAATCCAGTTTGCAGTGCCAACAGCATTGAAAAGTGACATTTCAAATCGAAAGGAAAATTGTAATGTTTTTCTAGAACCAATGTCTGTTTTCATCTGTTTTCAGTAGCTCTTTTTTGAACTATTTGTGTTGTATTCTTGTTGGGTTGATGTTGAGTTTGATGACCTCCACTCTGTGACAGGTGTGAAGGAGTGCTGAACTGTAAAGAAGAATTGTGTCAGTTAAGCTGTTTCTCAATGATAATTCAAGTTGGCCGCCGGTCCTTCCAGCATGCAGCAAAGTGAGTGGGGTGAAGAAGGAAGGGGACAGAGGGATAGTTGAAGGCGGGAGAAGATAGGAATCGATCATGGAAGAGTGTTCCTCCCCACCAACACTGAGGTTAAAGGAGAAGGCTGCGCAGAACAATGTCCTACTGAGTAATTACAAGAGCACCTCTCTTAACACACACAACTGACCCCGCTCCATGCCTACCCGTGTTAATAATCAGCGCTCATAATGAACACAATCCATAGGTCTGCTGGGTTAAGGTCCTCAACAACCTTGCTCCAAGCAACAACGGCCAAGCTCAGCACAAAGAGACGCTTTCTTTAGATGGAGCTGTGTGACGCTACTGCCCCCCAGTGGACACACGGGACATTGACGGCCTCCATGTTATTTTATGAGGTAAGATTACTGTACACAGTCTGTGGGTCAGTAACATAATCCTAACCCTGATTTTGAAAAACGATTTGCAGTACAACTCAGGCCCTTGAATATATAACCCATGTGTTGGAACTATTTATTGGTAAGACATTTATTATTTGTATTTTGTAATAACTCTTGAAATTAATGTTCTTGTTGTTTCTGTTTATATTGATTGTTTTGATTGTATTGATTCTTATTTATTGCAAATATGTTAGTATTAAATTAATTCTAATGTTTTTATTTTGAAGGCAGTTTTGGGCACTGGCTGATTATATATTGGAGACAGGTAGTGATGGGATTAGCGCACCAGTATAGCATATGGTTTTTTGCCAGGGTGACCAAGGAAAGCCATAGGAAAAGCTGCTGGAAAAGAAAAGGTGACGCCAGATTTCATTGTACTTTTGATGATATTAGCTCATGGAAATAAATAAATACATTGTTCTTGCCTGGACTTGGACCTACTTTACTACTTGTGAATAAATAATTGAAATGAAAAGAGTGCAACAATGTGCTGTTGGATCATTATTATTATTTTAACTAGTTCACTCTTGCTGGCTTCTCCACTGTTGCTGATCCAATCCTTAACACTAAAAATATATTTATTTTACCAGTTCCTGACATTTTGTAAATGTAACAATTAATCTATTCATTATTACAAGGTATTCACAGCTGTTTATTTCCCCTGCGGAAGATTTGCTTACCGGTGCCTCAGCGGGCATTTTATTTTGGAGTTTTTGAAGGTGGAATGAATATTGTTGTAGTTATACAACCTTAAAAGGCCTATAAACTCAACGAAGCAATTAAGATCATTAACCAGTGATTTAGTGTTTTATAGTTAAAAGTAGTAATACTTAATTGTAAAAATACTCTGTTAGAAGTAAAAATCCTGCATTCAAACCTAAGTGAAGTAAAGGTACAAAAGTATTGGCAGCCAAATAGACTTAAGTAAGTGCTCATAAAGCGTTATGATCCATTTCAGAATTTGAAATGACTTGATTATGAATATTGATGCATTAATGTGTCTATCACAGCTGGTCAAAGTAGAGATCATTTTAACACACTTTTTTTTTTTTTTATGTTTTATTTTCTATTCATATTTCTTTTATTTTCTGCTGTTTTTCTTTAATGTATTCGTGATTTTTCAACAGCTTCGATGTCAACTGATCCAGTGATGCCAAAACCAATGCAGTATTTTATTATAACACAAGAATACACCTTGTTGAATTGGATTTTGGTTTTTTTCCCGGTTCATATGAATATCTTTGGAAACGTTACTGTTTCTTTACTGAAAACCCAATTTTTTTATTTTGTGTGTGATAGGCTAAGGGGCGGGACATCTCTAAGCAGTTGACCAATCAAAATAGAGCCGGCCAGCTAACCAATCAGAGCAGACTGGGCTCTGGTTTCAGACAGAGGGTGAGAGCTTTTTGAACATTAAAGCATGGAAATGTCAAAGGCATAGAGGCACTAAATAAAAACATGAACTTGAAAATGAGTATCGTAGGGCCTCTTTAACATTTTGTTACTTTCCTTTTCCTCTGGAATATAGGGGAATGTAAAAAATGTACTCAAGTAACTTGAATGTCGAATGTACTAATGTTCTTGTATACTGGGTATAAAAACTGAACTCTTCCTTACATGCTCTCCTACAATACTGCAGTGGCTATGTCAAATAAATCCTATTTGTAAATTAACAAATTCATTTAAAATACTTCCCCAATATTTCGACAGCCTGCTAGCTGAAATGATTGAACTGTGCTTGTGTATATACAGTTGCAAGAAAAAGTATGTGAACCCTTTGGAATGACCTGGATTTCTGCATAAGTTGGTCATAAAATGTGTTCTGATCTTCATCTAAGTCACAACAATAGACAAACACAGTCTGCTTAAACTAATACCACACAAACAATGATATGTTTTCATGTTTTTATTGAACACACCATGTAAACATTCACAGTGCAGGGTGGAAAAAGTATGTGAACCCCTAGGCTAAAGACTTCTTCAAGAGCTAATTGGAGTCAGGAGTCAGCCAACCTGGAGTCCAATCAATGAGACGAGATTGGAGGTGTTGGTTAAAGCTGCCCTGCCCTATAAAAAATACACACCTGTTTTGAATTTGCTATTCTTAAGAAGCATTGCCAGATGTGAACCATGCCTCGCACAAAAGAGCTCTCAGAAGACCTACGATTAAGAATGGTTGACTTGCATAAAGCTGGAAAGGGTTACAACAGTATCTCTAAAAGCCTTGATGTTCATCAGTCCACGGTAAGACAAGTTGTCTATAAATGGAGAAAGTTCAGCACTGTTGCTACTCTCCCTAGGAGTGGCCGTCCTGTAAAGATGACTGCAAGAGCACAGCGCAGAATGCTCAATGAGGTGAAGAAGAATCCTAGAGTGTCAGCTAGAGACTTAAAGAAATCTCTGGCACATGCTAACATCTCTGTTGACGAATCTACAATACGTAAAACACTGAACAAGAATGGAGTTCATGGGAGGACACCACGGAGGAAGCCACTGCTGTCCAGAAAAAACATTGCTGCACGTTTGAAGTTTGCAAAAGAGCACCTGGATGTTCCACAGCACTACTGGCAAAATATTCTGTGGACAGATGAAACCAAAGTTGAGTTGTTTGGAAGGAACACACAACGCTATGTGTGGAGAATCCAAAGGGTTCACATACTTGTTCTTGCAACTGTATCGCTAAAAAGCAAGACATAGAGCAAGCTACCAGCACCTTTTTATTTGTTTTGAAGACTTATTAAAAGCTGTTTTCTTCTTCATCCTGGCCAGAGTAACCTTACAGCCCTCATGACATCTCTTTGTGGATAACAATAGGCACAAGTGTAGGTTATGCAGATAATATTAAAAAAAAAATAGACGGTAAGAAACCAGCCCTTAAAGTGGCTGATAAGGCACCGTGCGAACATGCTGGATCAGGATTTGGTCCGTCATTATAAACTGGCTAACCTCTCACTCACTTCCCACAGCTTCTTTGCCAAGGCATCATCCCGTCCTTTGGCTCCCACTTGTTGCAGCGCACAGTTAGAGAAGTAGCGTCCGCTAAAAGGCTCAATGCCCTCTTGCAGGGCACAATGCAGGGTGGTCTGGGCCCCCCCCTCAGGATCCTGGAGGAAGAGCTTGGCAAAGGGAATCAGGAGGAGCTGCTGCCATAGGCTAAGGCTTCGACGCAGCTCTGTGTTGATATATCCTAGAAGAAGAAAATGATGAAACGTATGAGCTTCGCAGGAAGTGCTGAATGATTACTGGACAACAGCCTTGTTTACAGGTAGTCCATATTCTCTCAGTAGACCTGCACTAGGATACTCTTGTGACATAGTACAATAATCTAAAGCAGCCATACAGCAGGTCAGAAATACAACAAGTGTAAACAACAGCTGCTATATTATCAAGACAGCCACAGATAATTAAAGAGTCCTCTGCTATATACTTAGTGTTCTGCCCGATATATGATATGACAGATATAAATGAGATTTCCTTACTGAGTATCCCACAGCATCATGTCAGAGTGGATGTCAGCCAGCTGAAGCTCAGCAGTAGTTAAGTGGTGCAGAAGGACAATGGCCCTTAACTTCACAGTAAATGTAATACAGAATGGCTTAGTGAAAAGAATATCTGCCTTTTAGAGTGGTTCAGTCAGAGACCAGACCTTATCCCAATTGAGAAGCTGAGGAATAACCTTGGGAGAGCCGTTCACACCAGACATCCTGAGAATATGACTGAGCTGAAGCAGGTGCTAATGTTTAATGGGTGGGTTAAAGAAAGACATGAAAGATTATAAATGTTTGAGTGTTATTAGCTTAAGCGCATTGTGTTTGTCTATAGTTGTGACTTGAACGATATCAGATCACAGTGAATGACCAATTCATGCATAAGACCAGGAAATTCCAAAGTATTCCCATCAATGCAGAACAATATTTTGTATTACTGCTGATTTTTATTCCATATTTTATTCCTTCTATTCCATTGCAATGTAAATACTGTTATATCTTACTATATTTTAAGTTATTTTAAATATTTTTCTAGTTCTCTATCTGTGTTTTTAATTCTTGTTTGTATGCTCCACGACACCTAGTCGAATTCCTCGTACGTGTAAACCTACCTGGTAATAAACCTGTTTCTGATTCTGATCATTCCAACCATGCCATTGTATGTCTAATGACCCAATCCTTAACCCAATAATTGCAATACATAAATGAACACAGAAATGTTACATATTCCAGTCCAAAACATCTTTCACCAACATTATTTCCAGATTTCCTCGATAAGTCTGATTGGCATTCGTCAGCTTGCTGTCACTTCCTGTTAGTAAAACCTTATTGTCAGGTTAGAGACGGAAATATACAAGTGAAAATTATAATGCTTTCCATCTGAAAATGGTTGCCAGAGAATATGTTCCTACAGGAACTGTGCATAAGGCACTCACCTGGGTGGAGGCAGAAGCAGGAGACGCTGGTGCCCTCGAGCCTGTTGGCCAGCTCCCTGGTGAAGAGCACATTACACAGCTTGCTGTCGCAGTAGGCTTGGAGGTTGCGCCACATAGACTGACCAGACACCAAGTCTTTCTTAGAGGTCATCAGGGGGAAGTGAGCTTTGCCTAGACGGTGCCCAATGGACGCCACGGTGACCACACGACTAGGACCGCACTTCTGGAGGCGCTCCAGGAGAAGGTTGGTGAGCAGGAAGTGACCCAAGTGGTTGACCCCAAACGCCAAGTCAAAATCATCATCTGTATGTCCATGGCCCACCACACCTGAAACACAGCGCTTCTTTTACTTATACCCATTTTCCAAGACCAATGCGAAGACAGCGCACAATTGCGAACACGTTTTTTGTGTTTTGGCACCACATTAACCAGGCTCTATATTTTGTGACGATACTTTGAATTACAACCCGTTTGCTATCCTGTTCAGCAACAAGTGCCTACTAATTTAAAGCATTTATGGTTAAGAATCAATATGCTATACGTGGTAGGTACACCTGGTCCGCCCCTGGCTCCGCCTTCCCCAGGTGTCCTGATGACATTCAGCTGGGGATGACTTAAAGAGAAAAAGCTCTTTTCCCGTCCTGAAACCAAGGGAATACGACCGTGGATTTCCTCTCACCTCGTGTGGATTTATATATATGTTGCTGTATTTTTTTTGTGTGAACTCTGGAGGATATTAGTATAGGTTTTTCGCGGCTTTGTTTCCTTCCCAGTAGGCTGTGTTTGGACCTTTGGGTAGAGGAGGGAAGTCTGGGTCCTACGGCTCATGGTGTGGCTGGCCCAGGCCCCCTTCTTCTTTTTGTTTGTTTTACGATCCTCCAGACTTGGTTCCTTATTGCCGGGAGGCATGCATGTGAGTTACGGCTGTGATGAAAATAAATGCCCGTCGATAACTAAATTCTGTGTTTGGCGTGGTTGTTTTTATGTTGCGGGTCTTTCCACGAGCCACTACCGCTTGGTAGAGGGACGGGACGTAACATATGGGGGCTTGTCCAAAGGCTGTCTCGGGCAGGTGCCGGTGTACTGAGAGTGTTTCTTTCTAGAACGGCCCTTGACAGCATATATATTTTGCTTTGTGTGTGCAGTGTAGGGTGGCTAGAATGATAGCCTAGCTGGTTTCAGTTTTGTTTGCTTTTTTATTTTATTTTCTCTTTGGAGTGAGTTTAGGTTGGATTTTTTGCGCTATGGAGTTTGAGCTAGAGGGCTTTGCTAGTGGTCCAACTCGGGAGAAGTTGGACGCCTGTAGTAAAGCCCAGCTGGAGCTAATTGCAGGCAGATTTAACGTTGAAATTAGCAAACAGCACAAGAAGCAGGTCATCAAGGAACAGCTGTTGGCGGCACTTATAGAGAAGGAAGTGTTACCGGAGGAAACGGGCGCTACCTATTTATCTAAAGATGAGGAAAACGAGGTAGCTCCAACAATGAGTGAGCTTCAGCTGGAGCTACGTAAATTAATGATTAGAGAGAAGGAGATTGATAACAAGCTAAGAGAGAAGGAGATCGACTGCAATCTCGAAATCAGGAAACTAGAGGAGGAGTGAAATCGATTGCTTCGTTTGAAGGAGCTGGAGTTATCGGCAGTGTCGCACCAAACTCAGCAGTTGGGATCCGCACATCCTCATGAGTTTGATGTGGGTAAATACACCCGATTTATTCCAGTGTTCAATGAGAGGGACGTGGATAATTTTTGTATTCTTTTCGAACGGGTTGCAACAACCTTGAAGTGGCCTAGGGATGTGTGGACTGTGATGCTGCAGTGCGTTCTAACGGGGAAGGCTCAGGAGGTATACGCTGCATTGTCTGACGAGGTCAGCCGGGATTATGGGCAGGTGAAAGCAGAAATTCTGCGCGCTTATGAGCTCGTGCCAGAGGCGTATCGTCAGAGGTTTCGCAGTTTCAGAAAAAGGGATTCTCAGGCTTATGTGGAGTTCGCTCGTGAGAAAGAGGGACTATTTGATCGGTGGTGCTCGTCGACAGGGGTAAGATCTCTAGAGGACATGAGAACATTAATGCTCATGGAGGACTTTAAAAACTGTTTGCCTGACAGAGTAGCCACATACATAAATGAGCAAAAACCTGTGAAACTGTCTGATGCTGCGGTTCTGGCTGACGAGTATGTCCTCACTCACAAGTCTGTCTTCGGTGGGAGGGATAGCGCAGGCCCGGTTTTGTGACACTAAGCTCAGGGAAAGCTCCGCTAACGTGCAGTTACAGGGCAGCATGTCAAGAGCTGTGGAGGAAAATGCGAGGGAGGTGAGTTGGGGACCCAGAGATAGCCCAGTGTGTTATTTCTGTAAGAAAAGAGGTCATATTGTGGCGAATTGTTATGCGTTGCGGGATGAGAAGAAGCCTGTAAAGACGGTCGCCTTGTCAATACTCCTCAACCGGGTGCTCCTAAATCAGAACTGGAAGTGTTTGCTCCGTTTCTTATGCAGGGAGTGGTGTCTTCGCTTGGGAAGAACAACAGGGTTCCGGTTACCATTTTGAGGGATACAGCAGCATCACAATCTTTTATCGTGAGTGGTGTGTTTTCCCTCTCGGAGGAGTCTGCTGTTAATTCCGGTGTTCTTGTGAGGGGGTTTGGGATGCAATATGTCGGTTCACCCTTGCATTATATTCACCTGGAATCAGATCTAGTTACAGGGCCGGTGATTGTCGGCGTTCGGTCATGTTTTCCTATCAAGGGAGTAGATCTGATATTGGGGAATGATTTAGCCGGTGGCAGAGTGCTCGTTAAGCCGGAAGTGACTGCGGTTCCTGTGGGGGAATGTTCAGATACAAATGTCCAAGAGTTCCATAATGTACGTTCCGCCTGTGCTGTCACCCACGCCAAGTCTAAGGGTGGGGTTGAAGTTGACGATGAGGTGGATCTGTCTGACAGTTTTATGGCTATAGAATTAGACATGCCAATCAGTGACCCTCCCCTGCCCCAGCGGCGTGACGGTGGGAAAACTGATACGGTAAAAATTGGTGCTGTGCCTGTGGCACGTCAGCAGCTGGTGTGTGACCAAAAAGCGGATGCAGAATTATCATTGATATTGGAGGATGCGGTTTCAGAAGGTGTCGCTGGCTCTCGCGGGTACTTTGTTAAAGACGGGGTGCTCATACGTAAATGGACACCGCTCTTTGCATCCCCAGGTGATGATTGGTGTGTTGTATCACAAGTGGTGGTTCCGTCGAAATATCGCCAGGACATCTTAGGTTTAGCTCATGATCATCAGCTTGCTGGCCACCTTGGTGTCAATAAAACCTATGACCGGGTGCTGCGCCACTTTTTCTGGCCGGGTCTGAAGAGGGATGTGGTGCATTATTGTAAAACGTGCCATGTGTGCCAGGTTGCAGGGAAGCCTAATCAAACGATTCCGCCTGCGCCGTTATATCCCATCCCGGCTGTAGGTGAACCGTTTGAGCGGGTGATCGTGGACTGTGTTGGCCCCTTCCCCGTAGTAAATCCGGTCATAGGTTTCTGCTTACCATTATGTGTGCAGCAACACGGTTTCCTGAAGCGATACCGCTGCATAACATCACTGCTCCGAGTATGGTCAAAGCCTTGGTGAAGTTTTTTTGCGTGTTTGGATTGCCAAAGATCATTCAAACTGACCAAGGAACGAATTTCATGTCGCGGGTCTTTGCTCAGACTCTCAAACAGTTAGCTATCAGTCATGTCCACTCGAGTGCATATCACCCTGAGTCGCAGGGGGCGCTTGAGCGGTTTCACCAGACGCTCAAATCGATGTTAAGTGCGTACTGTTTGGAGTTTGAAAGGGATTGGGATGAGGGAGTGCATTTAATGTTGTTCGCAGTGAGAGAGGTGGTGCAGGAGTCGCTAGGGTTCATAATGTACGTGGTCCCCTGAAGCTGTTGAAGGAAAAATGGCTGGGGGTGGCTGAGCCATTTAATCTGCTGGATTATGTGAGTGGGTTTCGTTTGAAGCTGCGCCGTGCATGCGAACTGGCACAGGATAATCTGGGTGTGGCTCAGAGAAAAATGATGGGGTGGTACGACAGGCGGGCTAAGGACAGAGTGTTTGCTCCAGGAGATAAAGTGCTAGCCTTGTTGCCGATCCCTGGTTCCAGTTTGCAAGCCCAGTTCAGTGGCCCCTATGTTATTACTAAAAAGGTCGGTGACCGTGAGTACCTCATCGCTACTCCTGAACGGGGTCGTAAGAGCAGGCTTTGTCACGTTAATATGTTGAAGCCGTACAACGAGAGGGCGAAAGCGCCTGGCTCGAGCAGGGGCTTAGCTGATGATACTGCCGAGTCTATTGTTCTAACAGGGGAGCTGTCCGGTGCTGGAAATGACGCATCTGCCACCTCTGAAGCTCCGGTTATTTGGGGGGGGGGGGATGAAGACGTTGTGGTCCAGTCGAAGGCGGTGTTACAGGGGAGGCTGCGAAATTCAGAGATCCTGGTAAATATCGAGGCTCATTTAGCACACTTACCTGATACGCAGCGTTCAGACATAGGTGAACTGATCTTGTCCAACAAGCAACTGTTTTCTGACGTACCTTCCTGCACGACGGTTTTGGAACATGATATTGATGTAGGTGACTCACTACCGATTAAACGACACGCATATCGGGTGAACCCTGACAAACGCCGTCGATTTAAGAAGGAGGTTGATTATATGCTTATGAACGGGATCGCTGAGTACAGCCTAAGCCCGTGGAGCTCGCCTTGTTTACTGGTTGACAAGTCAGATAAATCCGATCGCTTTTGTACAGATTTCCGGAAGGTTAACAACGTGAGAAAGCCCGACAGCTATCCTTTGCCCAGAATGGAAGATTGTATTGACCAGGTTGGCAATGCCTCGTTTGTTACCAAGATCGACTTGTTAAAAGGGTATTGGCAAGTTCCACTAACTAGCCGCGCTAAGGAAATGTCAGCGTTTGTGACACCAGATAATTTCCTACAGTACACTGTCATGGCGTTCGGGATGCGCAACGCGCCAGCAACTTTTCAACGGCTCGTTAATATTGTGCTGTCGGGTCTGTCAGGGTGTGTGGCATATTTGGATGACATTGTGGTTTATTCAGAGTCATGGCAAAAGCACATGGAACAGTTGGCGGAGGTGTTCGAGCGTTTGCGCAGGGCGGACTTAACTATTAACTTGGCAAAATATGACTTTGCTCAGGCAACCGTGGTCTATCTGGGAAAAGTGGTTGGCAACGGGGAAGTACGGCCGGTCCAGGCCAAGGTGGAAGCAATCCTGGCATTTTCTGCTCCGGCTTCCCGACGTGACTTGCGCTGCTTCCTTGGGATGACTGGGTACTACAGAGGGTTCTGTAAAAATGTCTCAGCTGTTACTGCTTCGTTAACTGATCTGTTAAGCCCAAAAGTTCCTTATGTGTGGTCTGGGCGCTGTGACCATGCTTTCCAGCAAATTAAATTGCTGATGACTAATGCTCCGGTGCTTGTAGCGCCAAACTTTGATCAGCCCTTTAAACTAGCAGTTGATGCAAGTGAATTTGGGGCCGGAGCTGTCTTGCTGCAGGATGTCGATGGGGTGGAGCATCCAGTATCATACTTCTCAAAGAAATTCAATCGACACCAACGGGTGTACTCCACCATGGAAAAAGAGGCCCTGGCTATGGTTCTGGCCTTAAACCACTTTGAGGTGTACGTTGGGTCATCAAACATCCCTGTCACTATTTTTACCGATCACAACCCCCTTGTGTTCCTGCACAGAATGCGTAACACAAACCAAAGGTTGATGCGGTGGAGCATTTGTATGCAAGCCTTCAATGTTGAGGTCAAACACATTCGTGGCAAGGACAATGTGTTGGCTGATGCATTGTCGCGCTTGTGATATGTAGCCTGGTTGCTGGGTGGACTGAGTGGTGGAGCACGTCTGTCGACTGAAAGTCGATTGTTGTGATTGTTTTGTTTTATGTAAAAAAAATAAAAATTAAAAAAAATAATAATAACTAACTCATGGTGGGGGTGTTACGTGCTCTATGTGTTTTCTGTCTCTGCTGCGCAGGTACACCTGGTCCGCCCCTGGCTCCGCCTTCCCCAGGTGTCCTGATGACATTCAGCTGGGGATGACTTAAAGAGAAAAAGCTCTTTTCCCGTCCTGAAACCAAGGGAATACGACCGTGGATTTCCTCTCACCTCGTGTGGATTTATATATATGTTGCTGTATTTTTTTTGTGTGAACTCTGGAGGATATTAGTATAGGTTTTTCGCGGCTTTGTTTCCTTCCCAGTAGGCTGTGTTTGGACCTTTGGGTAGAGGAGGGAAGTCTGGGTCCTACGGCTCATGGTGTGGCTGGCCCAGGCCCCCTTCTTCTTTTTTTGTTTGTTTTACGATCCTCCTGACTTGGTTCCTTATTGCCGGGAGGCATGCATGTGAGTTACGGCTGTGCTGAAAATAAATGCCCGTCGATAACTAAATTCTGTGTTTGGGGTGGTTGTTTTTATGTTGCGGGTCTTCCCACGAGCCACTACCGCTTGGTAGAGGGACGGGACGTAACAACGACAGTGCCATAGCTAAATGTGTTAGGTGACGTCTAAAGGTGTGTTTTGCTCTGCTCACCGGTCCCTCACAGCGGGCAGAGCTGCAGGTGCTGATCTCTCTCTCTCGCGTCCGGTTAGACTTCACTCGCGTTTATGTCCAAATCCATCAGTTCTAGCCAATGATATGGCTGCTGCCCCTCCCTACACGCAGATCACGCAGACTCAAACCTCATCTTAGGCCCAAATGCGGCGCAAATGCGCTCCGCAGCCGTTGCGAGGTTCTGGCGCTAACAGTTCATGAGCATGCTCCCCCGCCCCCTGTCAACACTCGCGACACATGAGTGGCCAGCCTAAACAACAATAAGCGCTGCTTGGCAACCGTGTGTGGCGGCAAAGTACATAGACATTTTGACAGGAGAGATTTAGTTTTGCCGGTATTCAACATATTTTACCAGTCATAGTCCGGTAATTATTTACACTCTAAGAAAAGTCGTGCAAACTATGTCAAATTAAACTTATATACATGCTATACCTTGCTATACCTTGCTATACCCGCAACCTCCGTTCCAGCTGAGAGGGTCTTCTCTACAGCTGGCCTGATTGTGAATCGCCTCCGCACATGAAAGCTGTAGGTAGGCCTATAGCTGTCAAACTGTGATCACCAGTTCAATACATTTGACTAATTCGACTTGGTTTCTACACTTATTTGAACATGTATGTATTTATTTCCAAAAGTTATTGAAAAAAATGTTTGGGAAAAAAACGTTTTGAATTTTTTTCTTTACCCAATTTTTTTTTGTATAGGCTCTGTACATTTCGGTTAACCGGTTAACCGTTTTTTGGGGGGGCGAATATTCGAATATACATTTGCTTTCAAATTCCCATCCCTAATACGTGGGTCCAGTTAATGTTACGCGAGTTGAACCAACTGCAAAACCAAAATAGCCCCATTAAGCGCTTAAGCAAAACTAATTTCAGTGGAAAAGGGGTATCAGTTAGGGCTGAACGATTAATCGATTTTAAATCGAAATCGCGATTTTAAATGATGCGATTATCAAATCGCAAAGCCTGCGATTTTTTTAACATTTTTTTCTTGTGTGTCAGTCATCCACACCAATCAGAAGTGCTGTGCTCCACATGTACCAGCCATTGTTAACCAATCAGAAGTGGCCCATGATAGAAGGTGATAGACAGATTGATCCAATCACCTGCCAAGTATTTTTGAAAGTGCCTGCCCTTTCCAAATGGCTTCCAATGGAGCTTTCCTAGATGCTTTGGTGAAACAAACCATCTGAGTCAGGTTAGCAATGCTCCATCACATGTTTTACATCCATTACAGGGTGAATCTTAAACTGAAGCTTGACTTTAAAGCAACCCAACGGAAGTTTCATGTAAGTTTGGTTATTTCACTCGTAGCTCGAGCTGCGGGGTTGCTAGAGATGGGAGCACGTTGATACGACCTTGCTAGCTGGAGATATGGCCGCCTTTTACAATAAACTTCCGTTGGGTCGCTTAAAAACAAATATCGCAAATCGAATCGCAATATTTGTCAGAAAAATCGCAATTACATTTTTTCCCAAAATCGTGCAGCCCTAGTATCAGTGTATTTTGACTTTACAGCTCTTTGGTAGGAATTTCCAATTTGACCATCCTCACCTGCGTTGTTGATGAGGATGTCCAGTCGGGGTTCCGTCTCCAGGAAGGTTTTAACAAAGCTGCGAACAGACTCGAGATTCCCCAGATCCAACTGCATGAACACCACCTGATTGTTCCCACTCTCCTGCAGACGTTATTACACATATCCATCTGAATTGAGGAAACATGCACCCATTTTCTGCATGTGAAAATAAACTTGAATATGCTAGAATGTTTCCTGGAATCAGGCTGGACTTTCTAAATGCTTGTGTCATTATACAGTGATGTGGTCAAAGTGTGTCTTACTTCCACATTATTACAAATGTGCGAGGGCTATGAGTAAGTCTAACTGTGAGCTAACAAAGGTCTGGTGACAGCAGCCAGTTTATTAGGGCCAACTACCTAAAACCTATCTAGTCTTAAAGAAGAATAAATCCAACTTTTTTGAAGTTTTTTGTTTTCAGTTAAGAGACACTTTTCAGATTAGTTGACCAACAGCTGGAATTATCAGTGCTATGTATGGATTGGGTGCAGCGTCTTGTGTCTACTTTAGCCTAGAGCTTCAGAAGGACTTACTCTACGGATGTCGAAGGCAGCAGCCTCAGCTTTGTCCTTGTTGCGACAGACGATTATAACCCTGGCTCCTCTCTTGGCCAGGTCCAGAGCCGTGGACTTGCCAATGCCAGTGTTGGATCCTGTGCAGGAAAACCACAAGCAACAAAACACTGACGACAAGGAGCTGAACTCAATGACACCTAACCATCGTTTAATGCTGCCCGCAAGTACACAGTTTAAAGGACAAGATTAGACCAATAATATTCATATATTTGGGATTGATATTAAAGAATTGTCAAAACAAAGTCAGCTATTTAAGTTAAATCAAGAGTTAAGAATAGTGTGTTCTTATTGTATTGTAGCCTACTACTGTAGTAGTAATTTAGTACTCAACTCATATTCCAATATACATTTTGTATACATCTTGTAGTATGGTTAGACTCACACTTCATTTCAGAGGTAAACCTACATTTCCATTATAAATGAGGGCAGTATGTTCAAATTTGTGAAAATAGATGTAGGTAGGCTTAATAATCCACAATAACACACACACAAGAGCCTCAGGCAGCAGTTGTTGACCAAAACCGTAAAAGCTTGAATACAGTATGTGGGTGGGGACTCCTTAAAATGTTATTCTATTTTTACATGCGTTTCAAGTTCCATTATCTTCCCATGAAATGTGTTTATTAGATCTTGCCTTTTTTTAAACCAATGTTGAGACTGATGAAAATGTATCTTTTGGGACAACTTAATGGATAAGGTTATATTAGTTATAGGCAGGGTTCGAGTTACGTGGGAGCCAATGGGAGCTGAGCTCCCATACGGAGGGGCCTGAGCTCCCACGGACCCAGTGAAATCAAACATCTGTGGGGGTCGCTAATATACATTACCAACAACCATTATTTTGATCACAAATAATGCATTTTTCAAAGTAATGAGTATTATTTACGTTAACGAGGTAAATAGGTAAACAAAACAATGTTTTCCAAAAGAACTACGCATCGTATTCTCTCTTGAATGACAATATGCCTGCACTTCACCTCTAAGGTGCGCAATAAAATATTGCGCAATCTATGCCTGTGAGGCTGTGTGACGCGCGCCCGAAGAATGAACCGGGTCCGTTATATCAACAGACATTCAAATATATTGACAAGATACACACATACTACGAGTACCAGCAGACGATTACCATGCCGCCCAAAAAAAGGCCACTGCCGCCGACGGGGTCTACAAGCCTGGCTAGTTTTGGTTTTCTCACAAAGAAACAGCTTTTGACAACCAAAATGCACCTGCTAGCGTGGCAGCTAGCACTAACCTTGCTGCTACGGAGGATGCTGTCTTTGCTAGCGGACCTGATGCTGTTGAATGTGGGACCACCTGCACACACGTAGAAAGATCCGAATCGGAGCGGCATGAGGAGGCAGGAGGTACTGCTACAGAAGGACCACCACTTAACTGGGGACACAATCAGTGGAGATCCTGGAAAGAAAGAAACCCCTGGCTGTTTTCAAAGGAGGGTGGTCTTGGATGCCTCGTCTGTAAGGAAGCCAAGACTCTCTTACTTTCGGAGAAAAAATATGGAACGCATTTGGTGGATGCCTGGCAGGGGCGGTTCTAGGGGGGGCCAGTGCCCCCCTAACACTGACCTCTGACCACTCTAACAATGAAAAAAATTTTTTGTTTTTTTTTAAATGTATATTTTCTGGTACTCGGTTTGCCAAAAACCGCAGGATTTTGTTTCTGTAATGTGAAATTGTGCAGACACCCTTATGTAAAGTAGAGATGTAATTGTTCATTGCCTTTATTTTTATATAAATATGGTGTTAGTGCAAACATTGCACTATAACTTAAGCTGAAGCTAACAGTAATAACTATAAGATCTATCTGAAATAAATAAGTGTACTGAAACAAATACCAATAACTGTATTGCATTGTTTTCTTATGCGCAATTACTTCATACTGTCTAGTTCTCTTTTTCGTCCTGCATTTATTGTGCCCCCCTCAGAAAATAACTGGCCCCCCAGTGCCCCCCCCCCAGTCAAATTGGTCTAGAACCGCCACTGATGCCTGGACCAATGGGACTGTGAGTAGCCCTGTGCAGAAGCATTTGCGGACATCTTTTTACATACACCGCGATTTTTTACATATTGCTCATAAACGAGCTGTTGAAAAAGCGGAGCTCAAACTAAAATAAGTGCTTCCGAAGAAAGTTGCAGAACTGAGCTCCAGCATGTTTAATGAGACTTGGAGTCTGCACCTCCAAGGTGTGCAATACATTATTGCGCAATCTGTGACTGTGTGCGCGCCTGCGCGTGCGTGCACGCGCGCATAAGGCGCATACGTTAGTTTTAAAGACCCCCATAGAGCTCAGTTTATAACTCGAACCCTGGTTATAGGGTATTTGGTTAGTGTGAGGTCTGAGGTGATTGTTAGCTTTTGAAAATAGTGATTCAAAAGATGGTTTGTATGTATTTGTAGTTGTTAAGCCACAACGGTCCTCAGCAGTAGCTTCAGTACAGTTAAGTGTTGCAGACCATCCTGCTTTTTCCATGAGCTGAGAGTAACCGAACTACATGTTAGCAGTAGCTGAAGAGTGAGGCTCTTTACCTGTAACAATGGCCGTCTTCCCCCTCAGCTTCACTGAGCTGCAGTACCTTGCTCCTTTGAACACATTGTAATACAATATTAGGTAAAGGCATAGCGCTCCCGCCGCGAGGCAGAGCAGCACCGACATCGCTGCACGGCACGCGGCTAGCAACAACACTCTCGATGGCAACAACACTCTGTACTCTTTCAAAATAAAGTTTATATGGCCAAACAAAACGATAATCATTCGCTAAGTGCAATATACCGTCATCATTTTAAAAATAGTAATGCTAAAAGACAGCACTTTTGACAAAAAATGACTGGAATAGATTATTTTAAGTGTGATTTTGAATTCAGAAATAACAAAATAATTTACTTTGAAAGAAAAACCCAACTCTACAATAACCCTAACCCGGTTTGGTTTCCTGGTTTAGCGTTTCTGAACCAGCAGATGTCACCATGTGCATTCAAAGTAACATTTACATTCTTAAAGACAGCTTGACTATAAACCAAACCTTTTACAACACTAAAACACCTGCTAAACTTGAAAATCCCCCCAAATAGTGCCTTATATCAGTATTCCTCTTATCTTAGGAACTTTAACTGAAACATGCTGTCTCTGTTGTGTTTTTCTGTTTTCAATTTTAATTACTTGCATACAAATTCAATGTTTTCTTATCCTTGACTCTGGCTTCTTGCTCTACTAGCTTTTTCACATAGGACCTACATATATTTTGTATGCAACTCAAGGCAAAGAATATCGCAGCTTGTGTTCTTTGCCTTGGCCATATTCTGTGTTAGAAGTGTAGCCTATGCTTTTCTTTGTTTATCTGATATTTATTTTTCAAACTTTAAATTACAGTTTTATTTAGTTGTACTCACAGAAATGGATAAAAGTCCAATTCAAACAGGATACTGTACTTCATTTTTTCGGCCTACTTGGACTAATATCGCCTTAACTGTGACGCAAATGCATTGAAATCGTGTGCTTTGTTACGGGTTGGAATCAAGCTGACAGGCTAAAATACACACCCAAACGTTGTTTATGTAATCCGTTGCACATGTTCAAACTCATTTAATGTCAGGATTAAAGTGACAAGAATAAGATAAAGAGCGGTAGGCTACATCTACATGTTACCACTTTGCTTAACATGTTGTGTAGTAGTCTAATAGGTGTGGTGAAGCATAATTCATCATGTACAGTATAGGCCAAGTTATTAGGAGGACAATACAACCAAGATTCCAGAATTTCAGAAGTTCTGAAAGTTCACAGATAATTATACAGAAACAACTAAAAAAGATAACCATGTAACATATAAGAAGATTATGTAACTTACTCTGATTTTTTATTCAATTTAGGACGAGAAGGGCAAACCTTGCTTAGGCTGCTTCAATAAGTAAAACAGAATGTGTGTATCCTCCTTTGATGCTGCAGCAGCCCCCCAACAGATTGATTGGGTTGTCATTGGCCTATGCTTCACCCTTCCACAAAGTTTCATGAATTCTGCTCATAAATATTTTTTCTGTAATTCTGCTAAGAGCGTAACCAACAAACAAACTGAAACATTACCTCCTTGTTGAAGGTGATCATGGCCATGATCTTTATTTAAATTATTGTGCACACATATTTAGATAAAAACGACATTACAAACACTACACTACATTGATAGAAATTGCAAAGTCATAGTGACGCAGCACACCATGCAGTCTTTATGTTATAGAAAGAGGATTGGAATGGCAGTTAAAGTAGGACTTAACCACAACCCATTCATGCCGGAAGAATTCATGTGGGTGTTGGTTATTTGGATTGACATTATTTTAACCTTAACCTTACTTACACATGCTTCCAACTAAGCTTTCCACACAAGCACATGAAATAGTGTGTCCTTTTGTAGATGTCATGCTTTTTCAAACCTTATTTAAAACATTAGGACCCAATCAACTTTATTATGTGGTGTGTCTTTACTTATGACTAAGCTTGTTGTCTTATCTTATTTACGACACAAGTTTATTAATGACACCATTCAGTTGATAACTTTTACCGAGTTGATAACATCTGGATATTCCTTTTTTCACCACATAAAGCATCTATTCATCCTTGCAAGCTCAAGAGGGACCTATGAAGGAAAGAACGACAGAAATAATCGGACTACCCGGACACTCTACTGTACCAAATGCTGTATCTAAGGTTGTTGTGAAAAAGTCAGATGTGATAAGAAGATGTTAGGTGCTGAAACAGGTGAACATAATATGTACACATAAAGGACATATTTTCTGTCCTCACCTCTCTTTACATTACTTCTCCCCAGCAATGACTGGATAACAGTCATGCTTATCTAGGGGCAGCCAGGGAAATTAGATTGTTTTGGACCCAGACATGCTGATGCATGGGTCATATGCAAGCCCCCAAGAAGAGAGCCAGGTGTTGAAGCACGTTTTCGCAGTGGCCAATTGGTAGTACTTAACTTTTCGTGTCAGTCCGTGATATCAATGGGCCTTAAAATGCTTTTTCCCATTGACTTAAATTAGGAAAGACACGTCTGTGAATAACTGGTAATTTTTCTCTTAAAGCAACTTGCCAGGACAATCTCTTGAATAGCACTTACTTACCATTAGGGCCTGAATATAGTAAACTGCGATGAAAGCTGAATCCAGAGTTATTTTTTGAGGAATGATAGGGGCCCCGCGTCCAACGCTGTATCCAGTTCTCTTTCTCTTTCTTCAATGTTTATATGGCAAACTTTAAGTTTCCAACAACCCCCGACACAGGGGGTGAGTACGCCTATCAACACGTAGCCGACCTAAGTTCCACTGGAAAGGGTCCAGTTTACTTAAAACACTGATAACCTTTAACTTGTGGAGAAACTGCTGATGTCCCCCTTTAAACCTGGCTTTGCTGTGGAGAAGCATTGTGGGAAAAGGCATCTCATGCAGTTATAGTAACATGTTTATTTGTATGGAGCATCAATCATTTAGATATAAACTAATTATTTATCACCAACATAAATAAAACACCTTTACCTTACATTGCTTGACTTATCTCACCTGCCAGATAACCTCTCCTCTGTGTGTGTCACCTTTCATTACATTATTAATGTTTAAAGATTATGCCAACCCAATATCAGGCATTCGTGGAAAGTCTCTTACTGAACTCACACAGCTTCTTTGCTGCAGTGCCCTTCTTTGCTTTAGCATTCACTTTGTTCACAGTGCAGTTGGAATAGTCACTTCAAAATATTTTGTACTGCTGTAAACTTTGCCCCAGGAAAATACTTTGTTATTGATGTTACATCATTATCATGTGCTTCCATGGAATGAAGTCACAGGTCACTTATCAATGCCTGATGTTGATGAACCAGGATCAGTCGTATCCTGTGGTTTCACAGACTCACTTAATCCTATCTGAAGGCACTGGAGAGCAGCATTCCCTGCAAAAAAGAGTAAAGTAGCACTAGAGCCAAGTGGGAAATACAAGACTCCAATGTGTGATGTCCCTTAAAACCATCCTCTGGGGAGATATTCAAAATGTCAGACAGATTTGTGTCCCTAATGATGCTGTGATCACACACACACTCACAGGCTTACACTCATACAGTAAGTACATGTGGGATGCATTGTGTGCCGTTATTTATGATGACAACACTGTAAACCTAAAGATTACCCTTACCCTAACCCTAGAGACAATGCTGGACATATCAAAGCTTTATGACCCAGCTGTTGGAGAGATTGATTTTGTACTACTTGCATTCATAAACATCCAGGCATTTCATATACTTCTCATATCTTCCTTATGGTTTTGGTTATGGCACACTTGTAAATGTCAAGCCAGATGGAATAAACAAAGACAAAATAGAGAGATTTGGGTATGCACACAAAAAAAGTCCACTTCTTTGCTGGATATATGATGACTTATTAAAACTCCTGAAACAATAGTTTATAACACTAATTAGTTATGTAAGGAACAATAAATGATCAGAAGTAATAAATAAGGTAGATGATTATGTGCTTCAGTTATGTGTGGGTGGGGTTCATTTACTACAGGCCTGTCTGTAATCTGATGATTTGTCTTACATTGATACATTATGATTGATGTTTGAAACACACCTTATCTCATCAATCTTTCATGTAAAAAAACAGTATATGGTATGAGCCAGGAATGTGTTCATGTAGGAAACCATTGCTTGCAAGAATTAAATGCTTGTAAGTAAACCATCTCATGCAGTCCCATTTTTATTTACATTTGGCATCAATAACTTTAATACATTTAAATTAAACAAAAGGGATTTATTGCATTTTAACAAGCTGTTGCAGAAGCATTTATAACCTTATCTGTGAGTACACATTGTATGATTACAGTATGCAAACAAATCCAAAGAATGAAAACACAGTGCTGTAAAAACTGCTGAGTCATGGCGACTCCAAGATAGTCAGACTGGTTCTCTTTTTCATGAAGACAATGGCATGGAAGGGCTTGACCAACCTTTACCTTACATTACTTGACTAATCTCGCCCGCCAGGCGCAAGCTAACCTTTTCCCTGTATGTGTCACCATTCCATTATTAATGTTTAAGAGAAACAATGCCAACCCAACATCAGGCATTAGATGGAAAGCTTTTTATGCGAGTCCACACAGTCTCTCACTGAGCTCCCACAGCTTCTTTGCTGCAGCGTCATCCTTTGCTTTAGTGTACAATTCTCTCACGGTGCAGTTGGAGAAGTAACGTCCGTTGAGCGGTTCAATCCCCTCTTGGAGGGCACAGTGCAGGGTGGTCTGGGATCCCTGAACGGTGTTTTTCCAGAAGAACACAGTCATTGGCTTCAGGAGCATTTGCAGTACTGAGCTAGTGTTCCTTGCCAGCTCAGTGTTGATAGCTCCTGCGCAGGAAAAAAAAAATGATGCAGAGTTTTAGCAGCTTTTGTAAAAATGTCAGGTTTCTTGCTGTTCTGAGTTTGTATATTCATGGCATATTGCACTTATTATTAGTTGCTTTGGCATATAAATATTGTATATTTATCCACAAGTTTTCACCTGATAGCTATGCTAGATTACACAATATTTTCTATTTAGAGAACTGTAGTTTTATGAATTTCTAATTTCCCTATCGTTCCTCTGGTAATTGTACTCACTTGGTCCTGTTAGTGTAAACACAAATAACAATTACAATATAATTGCAACAA